AAAAAAAAAAAAAAAAAAAAAGAGCCGTCTGTCCCCACAACAAGCCTTGCTAGGGGGGTGTGATGTGCCTGTGTGCAGGAAACAGAAGGCAGAGCCCGGGAAGCGCCAGCCCAGGACCCTGCACCTGCCAAGGGTGCATCTGGCACCCACATGCCCTTGTTGTGCCCTCCAGGCTTCCTCGGGTCCCTGTGCACGGCTCTGTTTGCGTCTTATGCTGCGCAAGGAAAGCCACTGGAGCAGTGGGGCAGAGACATGATGCAGACGGTCCCACTGGCAGAGGAGTATTGTAAGAAGACCATCCGGCACCTGGCAGGTGAGCCCGACCTCTCTTCCCATCACGCCCGAGCTGACAGCAGAAAGGCTGGTGTCATTCACTTAGACCCGATTCCCAGAGAGCTGGAGGTCTGTTGGTCCCGTGGTGAAACCTAGAGCATCCCCATGTGAGCAGGCTGACCCACAAAGCAGGCCCAAGGCGTCCCCGGCAGAGGGCCTCCTGGCCAGGAGACCCGGAGCAATGCAAGTGCTGCTCCCCCGCCCTGGCCTCTGCAGGGACCCCACCCTCCCGCTCTCTGACGGCATCCGGGTCGCTGTTCCGGGTGGTCCTTGGTCGTCCATTCCCCAGACACACGGGGTCTGCACTGCTCCCCACTGTGGCCAGCTGCCATGAAGGCCACACAGGGGTCTGTGCCCCCTGGGGACATCTGCGTCCAGGAACGTCTGTCTGTTCCTGGTTATCCCAAACCCATCAAGCGGCTCGCACCCTCTTTGGCCACCGGCGAGGTGTCCATCAGCTGGTCCGGCAGAGGTCCTAGGGGACCTTGATGTTGCTGGCGGCCAGGTGAGCAGTGGCTTCTCAGCAGGCTCCTCCCCCACACGGCCCGGAGCGGACAGATGCGAGAGGCAGGTGGGGGACTGGGAGACCCGTGGCTTCCTCCTCAGGCAGCTACGCTCCAGAAGGTTCTTTCACCCCTAGGAGGGACAGCCCAGGGGCATGTCTGGAGTAAAGCCATTTGTCACAGGCCGAGGGAGACGAGTGTGAGTGAGGTAATGGGGCCGTGGGCTTTCTGGGCAGCCCGAGGCTGTGGTCTTGAGACGGGGAACCAATCAGTGAATCACTTTCCTGTCACCATCTGACAAGCAGGGACTCATTCTAAGTGCCTCTCAAGAAGCTTCTAGAACAACTTTAGAAGGAGATAGCGCTGGGAAACTCTTATCCACAGGGCCCGGCTCCCATGAGAAGCGGAGAGCCTTGTGCCCACAGTGAGCTTACACGTCCCTCTATAAACTTAATTATAGAACATAGCGCCACACTGGCCGTATTTTCGACTGGTTTAAGTCACTCCTGCCTCAGGGCTCTGGAGGGGTTGGGGCTGCCTGCGGTCACTGGGTTGTGAGGGTCACCTCCTCCCGCGGGAGAGATGGGGACGCACGGCTACTGTGGGCCATGCAGTGATTGTATTTACGCAGAGTCGGGGATGCTCCTTGGACAGGACAGGGAGGACAGGCATTGGTCAGAAAATTGGAGACTTTATTTTTTCTGTTTAACTTTAAATGTGTTTAACCTGGAGTTTTATGACCTATGACACATGCCGATTCTTTTAAAGTTTATTTATTTTGAAAGGGGCAGAGCAGGGGAGGGGCAAAGAGAGACAGAAAGAGAATCCCAAGCAGGATCCACACTGTCAGTGCAGAGCCTGACACGGGGCTCGAACTCACAAACCCCGAGATCATGACCTGAGCTGAAATCAAGAGTCAGACGCTCAACCGACTGAGCCACCCAGCTTCCCCAGACACATGCCCTTTTTTTTTTTAATTTTTTTTTTTTAACATTTATTTATTTTTGAGACACAGAGAGACAGAGCATGAACGGGGGAGGGACAGAGAGAGAGGGAGACACGAATCGAAAGCAGGCTCCAGGCTCTGAGCCATCAGCCCAGAGCCCGACGCGGAGCTCGAACTCGCGGACCGCGAGATCGTGACCTGAGCTGAAGTCGGACACTTAACCAACTGAGCCACCCAGGCGCACATGCCCTTTTTAACAGAAACCCAAATCGTCCAGAGAAAGCAGTGTTCTATTCCTGCAGGGCCTTCTGCTTAGTGGTGACAATGTCCATTGGCAGTAAGGACAACTGGCAAATTAGTTCCCTGTCTTCACCCTTGGACGTCTCGTTCCAATGTTGGTGGCCCACCTGCTTGGGAGACAGGCCATGGTGCACTGGCAGAGCCCTGTCCCTGCCCGCTGCTTCCCTCACTTTCTGTCATCTTGCCTCAACCTTAGGTAGGCTCTGCTTTTAGTTTTGTGAAGCACAGTCGGGCCAGCATTTCCAAGGGCCTGTGGTTCCCACAGGACCGGGAGCCTTGTCCCGGGGCCTGTCTGGGGCCTGCCTGCAGCCACCGGCTGGTCCCCTGGAGCTCTGTCCTCTGCTCCTGCCCACGAGCAGACCTCCTGAACCGGGGCTTTCCCACGGGCACACCGGGCCCCCCTCAGGACCAGGCTGGCAAGGAGGCCGCCACGGCGGGAGGGCCGAGCAGGCGCTGGTGCCTCCCGGGTTCTCAGAGGGCAGAGCACGTTCCTACATCTGTGTCCAAGGAGCTGCCGCTCAGACCCCACGTGACGTGGGCAAGTCCTTCCTCTGGGGCTGGCACGCCAGGCGACAGGCAGCGAGAAGGAGACGCCCTCCGCCCCCCTTTGCAGGCTGTGTCGCTTCGGTGAGAAGATACAGGGTCAGAGCTTTCAAGACAATATGCTCTTCTAAGGACCATAGTCCCTGTTAAGTCAGCAAAGCAAGTTTCTCGGTTGCTTTGTCCCCCACTCCCAGCTTCCTCACTCTTGTTCCAAAGCGGCCTCCGTCCTCTGCCCCCTCACCAGGCTCGGCCCCCATCTCCTGCCTCTGCCCCTGCCCCGCCGTCCCCGCGCCCCAGCTGGTGGCCCTCGTGTGCAGCCCACCCTGTTGTTTGTGTTTAGAATACCAGGAGCACTGGTTTTACTTTGAGGCAAAATGGCAGTTTTACTTGGAGGAGAGAAAAATCAGCGAAGATACGGGAAGTAAAGCCACCTTCCCTGACCGCTACGACGCGGAGGAGAGAGAAAAGGTAAGTCTTGCTGTGCCCAAGTGGTGGGGACAGCAGCTGGCAGGGTCCTGCTGCCCGGGGTCCCCACCGAGAAGCCGCTGCAGCTGGGCTGTTTCTGTCACCTCTAGAGCCTGGGCTGGGGGCTCCCCCGGCAGCAGCAGGGGGCCTGGAAGACTTCCTGGAGGAAGCATGTGTGAAACAGAGTACTTCATGTTTTCATTACCTCATTATAAGCACGGCATTGCTAGAAGACACTCGGTTTCACTTCGTTGTTTCCTAGGCACCGGGGCATGAAGTTGTATCCGATGAGTAAGGTCGTGCACACGTGCACACCACTGTCATTGCTCATGTTGGGAGAGCTGACTAACGTTGTCGGCATCGGGTTTGGTAGCACAAGAGAAAACCCCGAGTCGCTGTGGCTTAGCCATGATAGAAACTTATTTGCTTATGCCCCCGGAGCCCAGAGCTGAGCTGGAAGTCGCTTGCAGTGAGAGCCGAGGACACGTCTGTGTGGCCGCTCTGCCATTCTGAGTGCACAGCTTGTAATCCACGCTGGCTGCTCTGGCTCCAGCCAGCACGTCTGCATTCCAGGTGTCGGGAAGGTGCAGGGGGAGAGCAGGGGCCCACCCTTCCTCCTCAGGTGCTTCCCACAGCCCCTCTGTGTATCTCCACGTATCTCCCTCGCCTCCCCTTGGTGCTGGAAGGCCCAGGCATGTGATCCTTAACAGGGAGGTGCCGCTGTCCCCAAACCAACGCTGAGTCTGCTGCTAAGGCACAGGGGGGTGACCTTCCAGCGTCCACCTCACAGGCTTTCTGCTCGTGGCGCACCTGCAGGGTGTCATTCTGCACCACCAGCCAGCCTTGGCGCCCACTCGCCCCGTGCCCTGCACAGACCAGGGGCGTGTGTCCTAACAGTCTCAGCACTGGCTCTCAGTCCCTTGCTGGGTGCTGACTCTCCCACAGACTTTTTGGCTACCCTAACATGGGCTCGGGTTTTCTCTGTGGAGTGTCTGCATCCACAGGAGCCTCAAGAAGTGGGTCTTTCCTGCGCACCATCACCCCCAGCCCTGGGGCAGTGCCTTCAACACAGGTGAACTCCGGGAGCACGGGCTCCAGTGCAAAGCAGCACTGGTTTTCCTGTGGCCACATATGCCCTGACCCCTGGCTCTTTGTTCTAGGCTTACCGGAAATGGAGCTCTGAAGGCCGAGGGGGCCGGCGGGGCCATGATGCCCCCATGATTGCCTACGACGCTCTCTTAGGAGCTGGGGACAACTGGACAGAGCTCTGCCAGCGGGCCATGTGTCATGGAGGTGAGATTGCTTTCTTTGATGTGCGACCAGCACCCCCTTCCCACCCCAAAGCACCTGCCCAGGATGTCCGGATTCTGACCCCCCAGGATGTGGGTCCTTCTCTGGGCATGGTGCTGCCTCTGGTGGCTGTGCCAGTCTGAGCTTGAGAGAAATGGCATCCGGGGAGCAGGGTGTGGGCCCCCTCTCCTTCAAGGCCACTGGGTCCTGCTGGTACGGGCCGTGCACAGTCCCACGGACTCTGTAGCCAAAGAGAGCTCTGCAGCACTTTGGATCGCTGGCCCCAGGTTCGAGCCCTCGGGTGGTGGCCGGGACTGTCCCAGGGCCGGGCAGGATTGCTCCCTCCTGCTGCCCACTGTCCCCTGCAGATGTAAAATAAGGGGACCTCAGGCAGACGTCACCCCGTGCTGGTCACAGAGTATCCGTGGACATCGGAGCCCCTCAGTTCCTGGTGCTGAGGCAGTAGAGACGCCAGCACCACCCCACAGACGAGGTCCTTGAGCGCCCAGGCCCCAGGACAGCATGGGCATCGGCACACGCTCACGTGCATCCGGCTGTGCGAGGAGGGAGGGAGCTGCCCAGAGAGGTCCCTGAGACGGGCCCCTGGCAAGAGGGTCTGGGGGTGACAGTGCACAGGAAAGACCCACAGGCTCCGGCAGCACAAGGTCCCGGGGCCCCTGAGGACCTGTGTTTCCGTTCCAGGCGAGAGCGGGGCCACAGGGACTATCGCGGGCTGCCTGTTCGGGCTGCTGCACGGCCTGGACGCGGTTCCCACGGGCCTGTACCAGGACCTGGAGCACAAGGAGGAGCTGGCACGCCTGGGCGAAGCCCTTTACCGCCTGTCCACTCAGGAGAAGTAAAGCTCTCCCGCCATGTCCCTTCAGGGAGCCGCGTCCAGCTCTGGGCGCCCCGGGGTCCACGTGCTGGCCACGGCCCTCCTGAGCGTGCGACACGCCTGATCGGCCATAATCACACTCTTAACTCTTTCCTCCTGATTTCAGAGCCCTAACTGCCGAACGAAATGCCCTGTTTGTCCTTCGAGAATGTTTGTCCTTCCCTAACCCAGACCCAGAGCCTCTTGCGGGGTCTGCTACCCGTAAGCCTCCACACACAGTGGCACAAACAGTCTCCGGGACAATCAGCGTGCTTCACTCTGTGCAAAACTAATGCTGCTCGCTCACTCACGCCCACACAACTAACCACGACAGCTGTGCTCGGACGCGTGACCCGGCCACCGCCTCGAGGGCAGGGCCGCCGGCACCGGGCCTTGTGAAGCAGCGAGAGAGAGCACGGCACTTCGCCGCATGGCCAACGGTTTTTAATCACACTAGATCTTTAAAACCAAACCCTTCTGGAACAAGTGACAGAAAACCAGGAAATAAAGGGCTCTTGTGTGACACCCGCATCTTCTGTGTGGTCTGAGCCAGGTCCCGGGGGCAGGGGAGCCCCCCAGACTCGCTGCTGAGGGCTCGGGGCCGTCTCTGTCTGTGAGTCTTGGATAAGAGAGCACGCTCTGGTTAAAAATAACCTTGGACACGGTCCTTTCCAAGGAGCATCTGGTGTGAATAAAAGAGCAGTTGGTATTTCGTGTTTAACACGGCACTTTGGCGGCTAGGCTGGGGCCGGCCCCGCGGCGGCAGCGCTGTTTCCACGGAAGGCTGCCTCTGAGCAGGCCGGTGGCCCCCGGAGCCCCCGGGCTCACTCCCTCGCTTCTCAGGTCTGCACGAAGGCCTCCAGTGGGCGGCTCACAAGGAGGCCTTCCTGAATAACAACTAACCTTTGCTGCTGCTGGTGCTTTTCAGCGGGAAGAGCCAGACACAGGGTGGCCCCGGCTGGGGGGTGGGGGCGTGGACCAGCCCACTCCCGCAGGAGCCCAGGCCCCGCAGAAGTAGGTGGGTGCTGTCCCAGGCCAGGGCCACGGCCGGGCCCCAAGAGGGCTCCTTGGTCTCCGTTAGGAGGAATCCATCCTGGAGAATCAGGAAATGGGTCTGCTTACTGGTGGATTATAAAACATAAACAGTCACAGGAAGCACTGGACTGTCTCCACCTCACTGTCCTGCTGTAGAGAAACACAAGCACTGACAGAAACAGAACCGTGACAAGTGACGAGGTGAACGCATCTGTGATTTCGTGTTTATTGTAAAGGAAACACGCACACGGCCTTAGAGACTTGTCGCCACGTGTGCTGGTGGGTACAGAGCAAGAGGCCCCGGTGCCCAGCCAGGGTCGTACCCCCCGGGCCCCTCGAGCACCCCTGGAAGCTGTACAAGCTGGGGTCTGCACGGTGTGCTCGGCGCTGTACACGCACACGCCCTTCCCAGCTGCTGGCGATATTCTACCTGCTCGTGAGCCCTAACACATGTGACTCAGTGGTTCCCACTTCTGAAGTGACTGCTCCCGACTCGGCACATCCGCTGCAGGTGTGGGTCCTCGTGTAGATGGCATCCCGGCTGGAGCGGCACCTGGAGACCTGGGGTCAGAGGCCACGGGCTTGAGACAGCAGCCCCCATCATTAGGGAAGGGTTTGCACTCTGGCAGCCCCCGTGCCCACTGAGACAGGCACCCATGGGGGACGGGGACAGGCATCCACAGGGACAGGTGCCTGAGGGGACAGGTGCCCACGAGACAGGTACAGGCATCCACGGGAACAGACACCCAAGGGGACAGAGGCCATGGGGACAGGCACCCACAGGGATAGGCACCCATGGAGGGCAGGGACAGGCATCCACATGGACAGGTGCCTGAGGGGACAGGTGTCCATGGGGACAGGGACAGGCATCCACGGGACAGGCACCTGTGGGAATGGGCACCCAAGGGGACAGAGGCCATGGGGACAGACACCCACAGGGATAGGCACCCACAGGGATAGGCACCCATGGGTGCAAGGACAGGCGTCCATAAGGACAGATGCCCATGGAGACAGACACCCGTGGGGACAGGTGCCCACGGGGACAGGCACCCAAGGGGACAGAGGCCATGGGACAGGCACCCACAGGGATAGGTACCCATGGGCGCGGGGACAGGCATCCATAAGGACAGATGCCCACGGAGACAGGCACCCGTGGGGACAGGTGCCCACAGGGACAGGCACCCAAGGGGACAGAGGCCATGGAGACAGGCACCCAAAGCTCCAGTGGTGGAGCAGGTCCTCTGTTCTGCTCACAAGTTTCCAGACTTCAGGCTCATTTGATTAATTCCTGTCGCCAGGCTCTTTGGTGAAGAAGTTTTGTGTTTAGATCTTGAATCGTTGTTCCCCATGTTTCCGTATCTGGAAGGCAGGTGGCAGTGTGTCTGGCAGACACTGGAGCCCCTCTGACAGCTGGGGAGATGAGATCAGAAGGGTCCACTGGGAGGGGCCAAAGGGCCACTCACGGGTGCACACGGGCCTCAGCCCCACCACTTGGGGGGTCCCCCAGGTCAGAGAGGCAGTGCCTGGTGCTATCCCGGCCCATTGTGCAAGGGCGGTCAGAGCCCCTTGTGAATGGAGAATTCGAACCCAGCCTGCCTGACGGCCCAGCTCCTGCTTGTGAGCCACCCGCCAGCCTCCCCAGTTCAGCCAGACTTGCCCCCAGCCCTGGGCCCACAGGCACCTGGACCAGACAGCACAGGAAATAGGTGTCCACAGAGGGAACTGGAAATACCCCTTATTTCCGAGGAGGTCATGGGGACACAGACACCAGGGAGACCTCCAGGCCTGTGGGCACTGGTGCCTTCAGGGCCCGGGGCCCACCTGTGGGCTCTTGGCCCTGCGTCCATCCTGCCCCATTCTGATAGCTTGTTTTCAAGAATGTTAAAATAGGCAAAAAGCCACAATATAGCCCAAAGATCTCTCTCACCCAGCTGCACCAACTGGGCCAATCGCTGCCATTAATATTGGGCCACATGGGCCCAGTGTCTCTCAGTGAGGACAGAGCACAGATGCTCCCAGCGTGGCTGTGCCCTGGCGTGAGGGGAGGGGCGCCTGACTGCCTGCGTCAGCCCCAGCGCCTGAGTCAGCCGGACTGCAGGCTCCGGGCAGCAGAAGTGGCCTGCTGGGTGAGGTGGCCACCAAGTGCCCACAGGGAGTGCCTCTGTAGGGGCAGCAGGAGGGGTCAGGCCCCAGGCTCACTCTCCAAGGGGCAGGAAAGGGTGAGTGCAGATCACAGAGGAACAGGGGACCTGGGACGTGGCTCACAGACCTGGCTGCCATGGGGGCTCTGCACTCTGGGTATAAGCCTCTGAGCACCGCAAAGATAAGTGTGGGAGGGGTAGGGAGGGGTGGCTGCCAGGGGACCAGGCTGTCTTCCCAACCACGCCAGGAGACCCCATGTCTCAGAAGAGGACACGGGGCCCTAGGGACGTCCCCTTGCTGCCCCAGGACACACTGACGAACACAGAGGGGGCACAGGTCAGCCCAGGGCAGACCAGTGCCTGCTGATAAAGTCGACGGTGAGGGCCAGGCAGGCACCCCTGGGAGCCCCAAGGGACCAGCCGCTGCCGGCCTTTTGAGGTCAGGTGGGGTGGAGGGTCTCAGCCAGGGGACTGTCCTGCATGCTGACCCTCCAGTGTCCTTGTATTTCCAGGTGACCTCTCGGTCGCCAGAGGTGCCAACGGAACCGTCAGGAGAGTTTATTTTGGCCGCGATGTTTACACTGGCCCTGGAGAGAGGTGTTCTGGTCCTGCCCAGGGATGGGCTCGGGGACGTCTGCCCGCACCCACAGGCAGGGGCAGCAGCCCAGACCCCAGACTGCCTTTGGAAAACACTGACAAGACGGAAACACGCTTGGCTTTGAGGAGCAAACTGCTGGTGTTTGGTGCTCCCACAACTGTCCTCGCTGCAGCACGGAGACCATCCATCCACATGCTGTTTCAGCCACAACTGTCCTCGCTGCAGCGCGGGGACCGTCCATCCACATGCTATTTCAGGCCAGGCGTGTGGGGCCAAAGAAGGACGTGCTGGGCCTGCCTGCAAGTCCAGGGTCAGGCAGTCATCGAAGGCCCCAGTGAGAGACCTTGCCTCCACAAGAGCACATGCCCAGGCCCGCGGGAGAGTTCACACCACTGGCCATTCCAATTCAGTGACTTCTGGGGCGCAGAGGGCCATGCAGGTACCCCTCGAGTGAAAGAGGGGCATCCACAGGACCAGTGGGGGCAGCACAGTCAGGCCACTGGGAAAGCCTGCACTGAGGAGGGCACCTGAAATGGGTCGTGAAGGATGCATAGGAGCTCATCAGGAGTGCAGCTGTCGCAGGTGGGAAGGCTCAGTGTGCGGCTGGGACAGAGCACAGCCGGGAGCTGAGCTGCCAGGTGACACTCGAGGTGCACAGGCCTGCATCCCTCACCCCCGGCAACAACGGCAGGGTGAGCCAGAGCCTCGGATGGCAGGGGCCCTGCCAGACCTCGCTGCAAGCCCCAGGGGGGTGCAGAACAGATGGGTGTCCTGCCCACGTGCAGACAGACAAATGAGTGTGCTTGAAACTGCGCTGGAGTCTCAGGCAGTGACGACTGCTAGAGGGATGGAGACCCCAAGCGGTACACTGGGGCACGGTGGGTCGTGAGCTTGCATAGTGACCTCAGGAGGGCAGACTGTGCAAAGCAGAGGGAACAGCTTGTGCAAAGGCCCTGGGGTAGGAATGATCTGGGAACCAATCGATGGCCAGTGCTCATGGCCTGGGCACCAGGTGGCGTGTCCCTGCAGGGAGGGCGGGAGCCCAGCTCAGCTGTGTCGTGAACATGCACCACACAAGCATCCTGCAAACAGAGCTCAGCATTTCTCTGGGGTAGAGGGCAGGAGAGCAGAGATGGCCGGAAGCAGGCTGAGCAGAGGAGAGGTATTGTGTTCATGGAGGCTGTTGCCCATGTAGTCACTTCTGCGTCTGTT